TATACCCACTTCGGAAAAATCCAAGTGGAGTAGCAATGATAAAAGAATGTTTAATATGAACAAGCTTTTGTTAGAATATTTGCTTAATGCCTTTGACTCATCCTTTTCTAACAAATTTGTTCATTTTGATAGTGCTTACAATTTATGGAAATTCATAGAAGCACATCAAGGCAACTTGGAGGAAATCCAACGTAGTTTGGAGGATTATTCTTCAAGTGAGTGTGGAGCATCATCATGCACACGGCCACTAGGCGATAGCCCTAGTGTGGTAAGCGATTCGGAATCCGATAGTGATATATCCATCAATGAACTCGCTTGTGCATATGATAGATTAATGCATGCCTATACTAAGTTGCATAATAATTTTATAGATTTGAAAAGCAAGCATGTTAATTTGAAATCCGATCATGAGTTGCTAGGTTCCAAATTTGATATCATTGCAAAAGAAAATATTGTGCTTAAAGAAAACAATGACTTATTAAATTTGGAAAATGAAAAATTGACCTCATCCATTTCTAGCTTATCTCATGCTAAGAACAATGCCATATTAGAAGTAGAGAACATTAGAAATGAGTTTAATTCTTTTGCAAATGATCATATATGTTCTACTTCTAATGCTAATGCATATGTGCCTAATGACGAGTTGAATAACATTAAAAATAAAATATCATCTTTAGATTCAACTCTTAAATCATGCATTGTCAATAATAACAAGCTTATGGACATGTGTGCTAAATCTCATGCTAAAACATCTAAACATCCTATTCATCATGCACACGTGTATAGTAAAGTCTACAAATGCATAAATTACGGTCGTAAAGGCCATCTTGCTAGATTTTGCTATGATGCACAAAAACCCACTACGGCTCATATTAATCCTTCTTGTGCATCTCAAATGCTCCATTTGTGGTCGAAAAGGCCATTTAGCTAAGTTTTGCTATGATGCACAAAAACATAAGAATACTAATCCTTCTTGTGCATCTCATCAAGTTTCTTCATCACATACACATGCACATACTCATCATGTTCATCATAAGCATGCTCATGTGTTTAAATGTGATCATTGTGGTCGATTTGGTCATTTGGCCAAATTTTGTTTTGATTTAAAGAGAGTTTCACATTTGCAAAATAATTTTAAAAGATCATCCATGTTTGCAAATGTTTCTAATGTTTCTCGTGCACATGTTTATGGTCAACAAAATCAAATGGGCCTCTTTCATTGCACTAATTGCAATCGGAAAGGTCATTTACACAATTTTTGTTTTGACCGTGTTCGTGCATCATATGTGCCCAAGAGGGTTCATAACCTTAGGGTTTTGAGCCTTATTGATAGGGGTCATGTCCCTAACCAATCCGGCACCAAGAATTCTTGGGTGCCAAAATGATTTTTAAACCAAGAATTTTCGTACTTTTACTTTTTCTTTTTCTTGGTTTTGAAAATTACGTTTTAAATTTTTTTTTGTTATGAAAATAATTTTTCTTTTATCAAATCTTTTGTTTTCATAATTATTAGTCTTGATTTTGATGAGAGGTTTGTGTTTATATAACCCTCCGGGTTTATTGGGTGTTTATTCCCAAATCAAGTTTACCGGATGCTAAAATGATTATATGGGTTGGAACAAGCTCAAGAGCTTGATAAATTGTTGCCTCTCTTAAAAATTGTGTTTTTGATTTGTTGCTTTTGAATTCATTATAATTCACTTATATGATGATATTTATGTGTTTGTGCTAATGGATCATCTATTCGTGCTTTATAATGTATTCTATGAGTGGTTTGATCAAGTCTTACAAAAGAATTTTTTGTTGATCACAAACATCATTTTTGGTTTAAATGGTTGATTTATGATTTCATTTGGTTGATTTGTTTTCATTCGAAAACTCTTTTTGCATGATTCTCATGTTTTCTCTCTTTTGATTTCATAAATCTATTTTTTATACATGGTTTTTAGGCTTGTATTTTGAGACACCTATTTATCATGACATATCATTATGTGTTCTCATTATCTTGTTTGAATGTGAGTGATTGTTAGCATATCTTTTATGCTTGCTCACATATTTGCCTTGATCTTTATTGCATATATTTTATATGGCTTTTTGATAGGGGGAGCAATCCCGGCCTATACTTGTTTGATACTCACCTATGCTTATTAATAGGGGGAGCTTTCTTTTTTGTCCCCTTTTTGATGTTGTCAAAGGGGGAGAAATATTGTGAGTATATTCTTTCTTGTTTATATGCATGTGAATTATAATTTATATATTCATTTCCTTTCATGCATATATCTTTTTTGTAAATTGTTTGTCATCATCAAAAAGGGGGAGATTGTTGGCCTTCTTGTTTTGATGATATTTAACAAACAATTTACAACTAATGTTGTTTGTCTGGTATTTGTGTTTTCTTATTTATTATAGACAAACAACGTAGTTGGAGGATGGATGGAATTAAGCCTACATGATCATATCAAGAGGAGGTTGGCGGAATTGTGGAGTGAAGCATCGTACAATTCAAGTTCAAGATTCAAGTTTAGCTTCATCCGCAACGTGTACCAAGTTGAGCTCAATGAAGATCAAGATCAAGCTTGGGTAATCTAGTTTAGATTTTATATTATGTGTGTTAAGTACCTTAAGCTCAATATCATATACACACACGTATTTGGTTTATACATAAGTTTTGGTTTCTATGCATATATATAGTTTTATATATATACATACATATGTTTTGGGTTTTCATGTTTATAAATATGAAATCACATATTTCATATTTACTATTGTGTTTTCGAAAACATTGCATAGAATATGTAATTTTATAAAAATATTATATTCTTAGTTTTTGGACTTAACAATAATCATATACATATTTTATTAAGTCTATATAATCATTGTGCAAAGTTTCAAAACATGATTTAGCCTAAATGTCAAAATTCACATGTTTACATTTTCGTGTTTTGAACTATTTTGCAAAATGATGATTTTTCACAAATGGGAAATGAAATTTGGAAAATTCTTTTTGTAACATGTTTGTTTTCATGTTTATAAATATTTTGCAAAGTTTCATCAAGTTTGGAATTGATTTGTTATGTTTAAAGGAATTTACAAATTCACGTTTT